GTGCATTGTTTTCTCTACTTGTTTCAATTATAGTTGTTTATTTACTTTATAACTCTATGCTATTATTGTATTGCATGCAGCTGACATTTGATATTCCTGCCATTAAACAAATGAGAGACCGTCTGTTGAAGTAAATTGCTGAACGGTGGAGGGATTTTAAGTCCATGCTTACAACACATTATATTAATGGAAAAAGAAAGGGTGTGCATCCTAAGGAACGATACCAGTTTATTAGCGACGAGGCATGGGAGAATTTTGTGAAGCAACGTGAAGACCCCGCATTTCAGGTTTGGTTTCTTCAAACTTATTTTTTAATCAGGTCATATTTTATTTAACTAAACTAATTTTGTCGATTTGGTTTCATTGTCATAGGCATTGAGTCAGAAGAACAAACAAATATCTGAGCAGAATGTATACCCACATACCATGTCTCGTGCAGGGTATGGTGGGTTGGAAAGAAGTATGATGGAGGAACGACTGAAGAATGCACAGATGGCTGCTGCTTCAGATCCTACTGGCTACATGCCATCTATTGAGCGTCCTTCTCGCCAAGAAAAATGGAAGGCGGCGAGGATTAAAATGGGTCAATACATTACTCCACAGTCTGCTGCTGTTGCTGAGAGGATTGTAAGTAATATTTAAGAATTATGCTTCATTGATTGTTTTTTTCAATTATCTTAAATTGAATTTGTTGTTTTAATGATATAGGATACACTTGAGGAGCAACTATCTCAAGGTACATTCATCCCTCAAGGACGGATGGATATCTTGGCCACTGCTATTGGAAAAGCTGACCATCCCGGAAGAGTTCGAGGGCCCCTAAAGGGATTGGTATTAAAGAATTTTTTGGCTCTGCTTCACGAAGAAGCACCATATCATCCTCCGCTAACATGGTATCTAAAGAGGAGCTCGACCAACGACTACAAGAAGAAACAGAGAGAGTTCGAGCTGAACTAAGTCAACAACACATGGCAGAGATGCAAAAGATACGTGATGAATTCTATGCCAAGTTTCAAAAGACTTTGATGATGATGGGTACGAGCGGATTCCAGATGCCCCGAGTATCTGAACCTTCCCAGGTAATAATCACATATCTTTTTAAATCTTCTAAAGATTCATTTGATCCATTTAAACTTATTTAATGTTTTTTAACTAATTTCATATTATGTTTCAGGGTTCACCTGTGATAAAAAGCGGAAAGGGCAGTAATAATCAGACACAGCCACTGACAGTGTCTGACCCTGACCCTAGCCCTGACCCTGTCGAAGACAATGGGATGCCGTGTTCTCTCTATGTGGATTATGAAAATTCACCTGTTCATGTTGCTAATGGTCGAGCATTCATGGGCACAACGATTCACGGCAACAAAATTCCGAGCAATCAAGCAAGGGTGACAGTGGAGAGGATTGTTCGTGGTCAGGGGGGTACACCAGTGCCTAATCCTACCGATGAGGTTCGACTCTTGGCCCAAGCTAAAGGACATTTCATTTTGTGGCCAAAGAGACTTATTACAAAGCCAATAGTGAAGAAGGCGGCAGCAAAGAAGGCCACAACGAGCGCATCATCTGATCCTGTACTCTTGCCTCTTCCTAGTGATGTTGCGCTTATGTATTCCAGTTTGGAGGTTCTTCATTCCATAGTGCCAAACATGGATAAGCCTGTGACTTTCAAGATGCCGTTGGGGGTTGTGGGTTCAGATATAACATACGACTTCACCATTGATAAGAGGGACCTCGTTCAGTTCCTCAACTTTGAGGAGCTTGATATAGCCTTCATGCAGCTTGCTATTTTGTAAGTTACAATATCATTTTCTTATTACATATTATACTTCATGCATGTCCTAATGTTTTTTACTTGAACAACAGGCATTTTAATCAAATCTGTCAAAACGGAGGACTTGAAAGAACATATGGCTTTATGTGTCCTCAAAGGGTGCAGAAAGAATTTAATACTGTGGAAGCAAGGTCAATCTACATTATGACCGCAATGAGTCAGACCAAAAAGCTAATATATTTTGCACCTTACGTGGAAGCAATGTTTTAAAAGCCGGACCGGAAGTCAAACCGGAAAGATCAACGGGTCATGGTTCAATCGGTCGGATCGGTTGGACCGTTCGGTTAGACCGGTGACGCAATAATTAATTTAAAACAATATTATATACATATAATTAGTATATATGAAAAATATCAAATTATTAAATAATTTAGAAATGCATTTAAATAATCTAAAATTATAATGAAATCATTGAAAATGGACTAAAACCTTATATATTTAAATTTATGTATGTTTAAAATATTTAATGATATTACAAATTATCAATTCATTCAAATCAAAATATTTTTTTAAAAGATAGACCAAATATCGAAACAAAAAGACTAGCGACTCACGATTTTAACACCACAATATATGAAATTTTCTATGAAATAATACTATATGGTTATAAATAGTCTAAAAATATATTAGGATATTTAAGGGATCAATTTTTTTATTTTTCTTCTATTTTTTTAAATTTTTTTAGTATTTTTTAGTCAGGCTAAAAAACCGTCTGGTTTTCTGAAAACCGTTCCGGTTTCCGGTCCAACTCCGGTTCCCGGTTTAATAACGGCTCAACTCCGGTCCAATCCGGCTCAACTATGTGAACGGTTTTTTGGTCCAAACCGAGCCGTTAACGAGTCCGGGTGACGGTTCAACCGGTCCGACCGTCCGGTTCGGTCCGGTTCTTTAATCATTGCGTGGAAGGGTAAGTGTATTATTGTATTTGAGATATACAAGTTGTATGTGTCGGGTTATAATTAATATGGTTTGCTTTTTGCAGTTATCATTGGACTCTAATTGTTTGTGCCCCTTTTGACAACAAAGTTTACTGGTTCGATTCACTCTGTGGAAGTCCATCCGAAGAAACCAAAGATGTCATCGACACGTTAGTTTTTATTTATATATTTATTACTTGTGAAGTTTATACAAGCATGCTCTAATATCATTTTCTCTTATAATGTTGATAGGGCTTTTCATAGTTTTAATGTCGTGGCGATTAAACAAAATAGACAAGCACCAACATGGATTCTTCCACAGGTATATGTTGTTTTGAACTAACTTTTAAACATTTTTGATGAATTAAAGTTAATGTTTATAATCAATAATGTCTAATATTCAATTTTATATCTTATTTTTTTAGTACCGTTGTCAACAAGGACATGTTGAGTGTGGATATTATGTCATCCGCTACATGAATGACATAATTGAGACAGGAACGACTGAGAAATTAGACGAGGTAAAGATGAGTTACGTTCATGACGTTCTTCAATTTATTTCACATTTTTGACTAAGTTCACTATGTTATTTTTGATTAACAGATATTTCAAAATACTGCGCTATATCTCATGGATGACATCAACTTGATGAGGGACACTTTGTCAACAACATTGATAGAAAAAATTGAAATTTAGCTTTCAAATAGATAGGTTATTTCTCAAAAAATTCATTGTTAGATGCTTTCTCTCGGTTCCCTCTTATATTGTTCATGATTTCCATTGTACAGAGAAGTAGTTACTTCTATTTCAGAATTGTTGGACCTAGCCAATACGTGTTCTTTGGTAACCACTTAGTTCTATTATATTGGCCAGTTTCCCTATTTTCGAATTGTGTAAAAAAAATTTCATTGCTGTATATTAACTAGCTAATTGATCTTGTTCTGCGTGATCTGCACTGCCTACATTTGTTTGGAGCTGTAAACTGCAGGGTGGTAAACACGAAAATAAAGCAGAATTTAAAAAAAAAACATTTTTAACGGCGGTTATACATATAACCGCCGTGGAAAAGTGGACTTTCCACGGCGGTTAAAAATAAAACCGCCGTGGAAAGTCCACTTTTCACGACAGTTAAATATAAAACCGCCGTGGAAAGTCCACTTTCCACGGCGGTTAAAAACCGCCGTGTTTTCCTTACCTTTCAACGTCGCCTTTAACAACTACGCCTTCAAAACCGCCGTTAAAAGCCACTTTTAACCGCCGTTAAAAGCCTTTTTTCTGGTAGTGTGACACGTATGATTTTGATGTTCTAAGGGTCGAGGTTAACCGTTTTAATTGAGGATCATTTGGGAATATTATTTTTGAAGAAATTATGACTCCCAACTAATCTTAATCACATTCCTTAATTCACATGTAATTCAGTTAAAAAAATCTTATAAATAAGATTGGAACAAACATTTATTAAGAAAACAAATATTTATCAGCAAAATGCCTAATGGCAATTGGCAAATGAATTGAAGGGTGAGTAATGAAAACCTTGGTCCGGTCCTCTAGGTTTAATTTTCAATCTTTTAGCTTCTAAGTTTTATGAATTTACACAAATTTTATATCATAAATATATTATATATGTATTCCAAACCTCCCACAATAATTTAAATTATTTGCCCCACTTCTACATATGGCGTATTACACAATAATTTATGAAATATGTGTGTGTGTGTGTGTGTGTGTGTGGGGCATTTGTACCTTCCAACGGCCCACAATATGGCATATATAATTTAATATCTGGTCATTTTATAGTATTCTCAGTAGAACAGACGCATTTGAAAATGAGTATGGACTATGGTGGATGCTTACAATGTTTAACAATATATAAGAGACATTACTAGTTGAGTCTTAAGATAATTAAGAAACTGCTCATTTTATATCTATATTCTCTCCGTCATATTTATAAGTCATTTTTAATATTTTTCAACAGATTAGGAAACACATTAAAGTTCATTAACCTTGTTTAAGCTTTAAGTAAGTTATCTATTTTGCTCATGTTAACCATATCTTCAAATAAGCTTCTCACTTTACAACCTTAATAATAAGCGTTTTTGAAAAAATAAAATTGTAACAAATATATAATCAACATGGTGTCCTATGAATTGAAATATATAATGGAGGGAGCATATAGGAACATATATTACATGGTAAATATTACATAAAATAAAAGTGTAAATATATATAATAGTAGACAAGTATGACTTTTTAAACATGGGTTTTAATGGAGGAGCTATATCTGGTTTGGATATCATAGTACCTTGACCATAACATTACGCCTCCATATTTAGGAGAGGTCTTAATGGTAGGAAGCAACTTAGAAATGAGATCAAGAATAGGAATAAATCCACTGCCTGCAGCCTCAGGAGAAGCTGGTAGGCCTAGGAACACCTTATTCACTGGAACATTAGAAGTCCACAGCTTCCATGCACCTTCAAGACTAGATATATCTCCTGAACTATATTGGCATGGAGGGTTATTGTAGAACTGGATCCATGCATTGTCAAATAAACCTGTCCTCAAGGCATTTCCTAACCAAGCATCTGGGAATGGACATTGTGGAGCTGCTACTATATACACCTTTCTACCCCCCTTGCTATAACTTTTAAGTAGTCTGGTATGCAAATAAGAGTTAGTTATTCATGCGCGCACACACACATATATATAATATGAAAAAAATTAAGTATTTATTAAAAAAATAATAATATAAAATATAAAAGCTTGGCCAGTGTAGCATACTTCTACCTGGGCTGGGCCTAAAGTGATTGGGCTATTTTATGTTAGTTAGTTGAGCTACAGCACCACTTAAACCTATAAAATTAACTAAAGAAATCTACTGCCTCCTGTTTTGAATGTAAGAGTTACTTAATTGACATGAATAAATTAAAAAAGTTAGATGAATTAGTTAATTATAAAAAAAAATAACTTGATCTCCTTGAAAACACCCATGTGTAATATTAGATTATATATAAACTAATATATTAGTTTGGGTAAAAATGATAAATATAGGAGACAATGAATTGATATCTTATATTTAGAACCAAATCTAATCTCAAAACTAGCTCCTAGATTAGATACCAGGAGAAATACCTAGCAATATCACTTAAACCTCTAATATTAACTGAAGAAAGTTATAGCCAATGATATTGTAGTCTAGTGACATGAACTCTCACTTATAATTAAGTGAGGCGAGATAGGTTTAGGCCGTTGGTGTTTACCTTCTAGCTCAAAAAACTAAATAAAAACTACCTGGCAAGATCACCCCAGTATTGGTTTGATCCTCCTTCAATGTCAAAGTCAATGCCATCAAGAACAGCAGGACCGAGTGGGCGAGACGAAGACTGTCCTCCCAAGAAGTTATTCCAAAGGTAAGTCGCAACCTCTGTTGCATTAATGGCTTCGCTTCCAGGTCCTGCTCTTAAAGACAACAATACCTTTATGCCTTTGGCTTGGCATGATTCGATATCAGAACTCAAACCAGAACATCCATTATTGTTGCTGGGAACACAATGACCAGCCAGGTTTATTTCTGGAGTTTGGTTTCCCCCATAAGTTGGAAGAAATGCTATCATCATGAACTCATAGTTTCCAGTTTCACATGCCTCAGCCAGCGTGCCTTCGTTCCCATTTTGGCCCCAGTAAGTTGCGATATTGCCAGCTTCGGAAGAAGAAGCCATTGTTGACATGATGATGATGAAGAACAAGGCCAATAAGGATTGGCTTGATGCTGCAGAGATGGACGCCATTTTTGGAAGTTTTGATCTCACTGTCTTTTAAAGTTTTGTGATGTTTATGTGGGCGTAGAGATTTGGGGTTTTATAAGGGTGAGATGTGTGTGTTTGATGCGTGGGGTTTTATTTGGGTGATTTGGCCAATTAATTATGAGAGCGTCGTCGTGGACTCTTTGTTTGAACTTTGAAACTTAAGTTGCAGTCTTTCATAATGGCGTAGGAGATATAATTGACATGTCTCTTGTTTGTTTTCTTTTTGAACACTACTTTGGTGTTCCGTTCCTCTTTTTTCTTTTTTCTTTTTGTTAATATATATGCATATATATATATATATATATATTTCTTACCTTTTTATTCTTTATTTTTTTGGGTGACGCCACCCAACACTTCAAGCTATTTTTAGACCTGCATCCAGCACTCTAAATTATTACCCGTTTGTTTGGCAGATCGTTTAGAGGGGAGAACATGCATTCAAAAAGGGAAATCGTGTGTTGGTAGTTGGTGTGGTCTTCAACAATTGTTTGGGCAAACTTTTTCTCAAATTGACTTTTGGGAATAAAACTCATTCAAGGCAAAAGCTAATTAGAGTAGTTGAGGGCGATGGATGCTTCCAAAAATATTTCAAGGACTCACCTTTGCCCTTTTTTTTTTTTTTTTAAGGGATCATTCATTTAACAAATTACCGGAGGAGGAGTTTATCAATATTTTACTGAAACATGGCGACAAAGAGTTCTATTGAATCCGTTTCGTTGGTGACTTTGGATTGGCCTTCGTCCGCTGTCTTAGTATCCGGTGCTCTTCCTTTGCTTTAAAACGGTGTCGTTTGGTGCATAAAATGACAAGGGAAATAAAGGAGATTGTTAAAATTGTTAATTTTTTATTCTTCAACCGGATTTCCAAACAAAACATTACTCAGCAATTTTCCATTCATGACTTTCCTGCAATCTCCTTTTTTTTTTCTGGTCATTTATCATCAAACGACACTGTTTTAAAGCAAAGGAGTAGCAGGCTAGCAGCGGATATTAAGACAGCGGAGTAAAGTCAATCCGGATTTGAAGTGTCCGGGTCAGCTAAAATAAAGCTTAGAAAAGGATCAATCAAATATATTGCAATTACAAATTAATGAATTTCAGGAAGTTTGATTTCTTGAGAAGTTTTACGTACTGTTTTAATTTTCCGTTTAAGTCTGATGGTGGATGGAATATGGCCATGGTTTTCCAGTTACAGGTGCAACATAGTACTCCCTCCAGTCCTGAATATAAGATCCATTTTGTAGTATAATTTACACTACAAAATAGATCTTATATTTAGGACCAGAGGAGTATATACATACACATTACCTCCTATAAGAGCTAGTTAAGAATTGAGTTTAGTTTTAAATATAAAATTTTAATATTTATTTTGTCTCTCAAATTTATAATATATTTTTTTAAAACATCCCTATGGATTATAAGAGGCTCCTATCTACGAAGAGATATTTCTAATGTATGATCAAAGAGGGTAATTTGGGAAAGTCAATATATATTACAATTAATCAGTTTAACTAATTTTTTTAATCTCTCCAAATTAATTATTTAATTATTATATTAAGCACTGGAGGTAGCTTATATATATAAATATATTCACCATATGTTAAAGACGCATTTTTGTGTCTTTTTCTGACTGAATATAAGGTGGAAATAACAAAAAAAAAAAGTAATTTCAGCGTCTATCATAAAGACCAAACGCTATAATAATCATATAATAAAATTGAAAACATTGAAAAGGGTTTGGGACATTGGTGGCACCAAACGAGAAAGAAAGACATAAATTTTTTCAAAAATTAAGAGAAAACCTCTGTATATATCGTCAATAAGTACACGTATTATTATACATAGCAGAGTAAATTACATAAAACTCTCTTAAACTTTGAATCGTGTGCAAATAATCTTCTTAATCTTTAAAACTTAATAACCAATCTTCAAAAACTTTCCATTTGTATGGATAAACTCCAAACATCGATTATGAACTCTTTTAAATTATATTTTTATGCATATATAATCCCAAAAGCTTTGAGTTATATGCATGTATATAACTCTTTAAACTTTCATATATGCAAAGGTAAGTTATGAGCAAAATTATTCTAGTAAGAGAATTAGCATAAATGTAATAGGAAAATTTACAGTGAGATGTTAAGTAAGTTACTTATGCATATATATATATATATATATATAGTTGAGGGAAATTATAAATGTATGTGTGCATTTGTATCCGTTCAAAATAAAAAAAGAAATCAATAGTTAGAATGTGGCCGAGCCTTTGACCAAAAAGAAATGAGAAATTATATAGCGAGGTCTCAGAAAAAATAATTATTAAAAAATTTTAATAAGTTAAAATTAGTTGTCATTTCTTACCTTGTAGCTTATCATTACAAGTTACTCACTTGTTATGAGACTTTTTTGTGAATATGTTCTTTTTATAAGACCTTATTACAATTCTTCGGGAAAAAAAAAGCTAGCTAAAAACATTACTAAAAAAAGTGTTTAGGTGAAAATAAAATCATAATTTTAGAAGTGGTTTCACAGAATTTGAAATAAATATGTGAAAAAAATTTGGTATTTTTTTTTTTTTTTAAGTTTCAGAAGCTCCCAAATAAGTCAACCCTTGGAATATAACAGAAACAGCACCACATACCCTACCCATGACGTGAAGGCATGTTTTCAACGTCCTCGCATTACGTGCTTCCATGATTCTCACTTCCCAGTTCCCACTTTATAATAATCCCTTCCCCTCTCTCCCTCCCTCCCTCCCTCTCTCTCTCTCTATATATATAACATCACTAAGCTCAAAAACAAGAATTTCTAAGACACAAGACACTATCAATACGCGGCATGGACAAGGAGAACAACAGTGGCCGCCGCAACCCACGGACAGTGTTGCGATCCCCATCACCGTCGCCACGGCTTTGCCGGAGCAAAAGTGGGAGCAACTTATCATCCTTGACGACTACTCCAGAAAATAGCTCCCGCAGGTTTGGATCAAGTCAGAGATTCGTCAGCAACACGAACCGCTCAAAATCCACATCAAAAACAAGAAGAACTTGCAACAATGAAGACAGCACAACGAATCCCTCTTCTTCAAGCGCTTCGGCTCGGAAGTCCCAAGAGATCATCTCTAACAGAAATAACAGATCAGATGGAGTTGGATCTTCAAAGAGGATGACCGCGAAGTCTCCATCGGCATGGGCGTTATCGCCGGGGCGGTTTCTCGGACTCCCGGCGGCGTCATCGTCGTCTGAGACGCCGGGGAAAGTGAAGAGTAACAGCAATGGTGTGAGTAAGGTTTTGAGGTACTTCAGGCAAAAGAAAGTGTCATCGGTGCAAGAAGATGAGCATCACAGGTTTAGGATTTTGCATAACAGATTGTTGCAGTGGAGGTTTGTGAATGCAAGGGCCGAGTCTGCCATGGTTAATGTAAAGAAAGCTTCAGAGGTAAGTAATAAGTTTATTTAATTTTTATTGAGGGAAAAAAAGAGAGGCTAAATTGCACGACCTCCTTAATATAAGAGTTAAATAAAAAAATTAATTAAATTAGTTATTTATTACAAATATGAGTTTATTTTTCTAAATTACTCTTTTTAATCATAATTATCTTTGGATAACAACCCTTTAACATATGTAATCAATAGAGATATTTAGAGAATAAATTACAAATTTAAAGAATAAAGTAGATTAAGATCTTATATTTTAAGACCAAATTCAATTTCTAACTAGTTTTTATATTAAACACTAGAGGGTAGTAGTTTTTTATTTCAACTATCATTTTCCTTATGCACCCTCTGGTTTTAGATATAGAAATTAGCTCACTTGCATATTAATGAAACTAGTTAAGTTAATTACTTATAAAAAATGATTTTCCTAACTAATATAGTTCCTTATTGGAATTACACATGATATTTTATAAAGATAAAGTGAATTGACTTCTTAATTTAAAACTAAACTAAACCTTTAATTTGAATATTTAAGACCAATGGGAGTATAAGTTAAAAGGCATATAATTGTATAGAGAAGTGTATAGTAATTATAATTTTTTAACTTGCTAGTTTGTTTTAAAAATAATATATATTAATACGTATAATCAGCCCATTATATAGTCACACTCAACCTTTTGAACTGACTTTAGCCGAAGTGGTCCCATTAGAAGTAGCATCCTTGTAATTTTTCTTATTTACTTCTGCTGAATTATAATTTAAAATAATTATACCATCAGCTCATATAGGTTGGTTGAATTTAAAATTTATCAACATGCACTGCGGAGAGATTTATTTTATCTTCAACTCATCTAGAGTTTGATTTCTTTATTCATTGCAATATTAGTATATATATTGCCAATAGAGAAAAAAATAAAAAAGAAAAAGAGCTTGTACAGAAAGTCAGAGATAAAAGACTAAATAAATCTCATAAACATAATCTACGATGTACATAATATAAAACTCGGAAGATTCTTTACATCAAAAAAATATTGATGTTAATATATGCAAAATGCATTTTGGAATCGAGCCAAACATATAGATACTATTTGGTATGAAGCATTAAAATAAAGTTTGAGATTAAATTAGGATTGAGAAAATAATATTTAGCATGAGAGATTGCTTATTACATGGGATTAGACAAACCTACGAAAGCAGGATTGGAGAATACCACATGTGGTATTCTCCAATCCCATATACATGGGTTTGTCTAATCCCGTGTAACAAGCAATTTCTCATACTAAAAACTTTTTTAATGATTTTCTTCAACTGTAATCTTAACCCCTCTCTTTCATTTTCAATACTTCGTACTAAACGGAACCATAATATTTTCTTCAGTATAGTACGAGGTCGACTTGTTTGAATAGTTTATCTCATTTATCAATCATCTCGATAATTAAAATTAAATATTTATTATAAATTATGCAATATTTTGGTTACAGAGGTACTGAGGGTGAAACTTAATTAGTTAAACTAGAATACTTTAAATAATAATTTACATATTGTC